CTATATTTAAAAAAAATCCCAGACTGTGCCAATTAGGCGCAGTTAGAGAATCTCACTCTTTTGATCGTTAAATCACTGGTGACAGTGACTGAACCTCGTTCCCCCCAGCTTGGCGGAGCAGCAGCAGTAGCAGCAGCACCACCACTCGGCTCCCCACTCAGCACGTCCGCGCGACACAACATCTACCCTCGCCTCCACGGAACAGGCCTTGCCCACTTGAGTCACGTGTCTGCTTTCACAAGGCGCCATGGCTCACCGTCCCCGTGGATTAATATCCACACGTGGCCGTGATAAGAATGTCAAACTTAGCGATGAGCCTCAAGAGGCTTCTACGGGTGGATGGGTTGTTAATGGATTGCTTTTTCTCTCTCTCTCTGGCTACATTTAAACATGTGACCCCCCCTCCGCCGCTCCCCCATGCAGGTGACGGGTAACCGATGGGGGTTGCCACCTGTCCCATGTTTTCCCAGAATTGTCTTCTGTTTAAAGCACCTGTCATGGTACATCTGCAAATGTTGCTGGGGCATCGCAAGTCCCGAACCAGTAGTCTAGTAACACACCGCTCAAGACAACAAATGTACATGGAGTTCTCCCCCTATTCTGGTATGATAGGATACCCCATCATATTGTACCCAAACCACATCCACGACGGGTCAACTGAAACTACTGGACATCTGTGAAAAAGAGCTTTATAGCTCATCGGATTCCTCCGTTGTAAATATTCTGATGGCATCCAGCATCAATGATGATATCTGTGATAGTTTTTCTTTCTTTGTTAAAAGGGTATTTTTTTTTGTTTGCAGATGCGACCTCTGCCTGCGCATGAATGTTTAATGTTAAAGCACAATAGGTTATTTGTTATAATGATGAAGGTTATTTGTTGTGCACGTTCATGACGGTGTTTGTGTATGCACAGCCTTAGCATCCGCCTGTAATTGATTTTCTTCTGGCTACATAAACCCAGCCCATATGCTGACCTCCCCTTTCTCATTAACGCTCATTAGCACCCCCCCCCCACCCCCCAATTAGCACGTCTAACTTGCCTCTGGTGAGAAAATTAGGGTTAGAAGCAATAACATTCTTCTTCGCGAATATGGCCGGCATCGAGGCAGCAATATTCCAGAGGGGAAAACACAAAAACAAACTTGGCAAGGCTGCCATTGACGCCGATTGCCCATCCTTGACGAGCATAGTTGAGCTTTGGATTATTTTCTTTGGTTCTTTCGGTAAAGTCACGTAGAATGAGAATAAAATAATAAATTGATAAAATAAAATAACACAATAATATTCTCACGACGTTTCGGCCACAACACAAGCGGCCTTCATCAGGTGAAGGGACGAGACTGTCTGGTAGGACAGCGCTGTCCTACCAGACAGTCTCGTCCCTTCACAGCGCTGTCCTACCAGACAGTCTCGTCCCTTCACCTGATGAAGGCCGCTTGTGTTGTGGCCGAAACGTCGTGAGAATATTATTGTGTTATTTTATTTTATCAATTTATTATTTTATTCTCATTCTACGTGACTTTACCGAAAGAACCAAAGAAGATGAATCATTGCAGTCACGAACGCTTTAAATCGAAATTTGGATTATTTGTTAGTGTGTTTTTGCCCCAGAAAAGATGAAAATATCTATTTGAAGCCTCTCATTAACGTAACCTGCAAAAAATAGAGGGCATTCAAAGTTTGCGCATGCAAAGTATACCAACCATGTTTTATTAACGGCACAGAGGAGACACCGGGCACGAGGTGTCTGTATGTACGATGGACGTGGGCGCAGTCTGGGTTCAACTCATTTGCCTTAAACGCGACGCGGGGCTTGTATAGGCACGATGCACACCCAGCGTGACATTTCATAACCTACCCTGACATGGAATTTTAAGTTGGGAGCTTCTCTACGCTGCTGCGGAAACATGCTGTTATACTCTTCCAGTGTAATTATACACGTGTATATAATTTATACTGCAGTGAAGAATCTTGTTCCTACTTTTACCTGTGTATATATTATGGAAGAGTGTCGTGGTTAGCGCACTGCACTATGAAACCGGCCATCTGAGTTGGATTCCTGGCCATGGCGAATATCAGAGAACACTGGGTATCCGAATCAGACTTGCGGTCACCCCTTCACTAACCCCATAGGGACCGTCCATAAATGACGTCACGTATCTAGGAGGGGGGGCGGTCAGACATTTGTGACGATGTGTGACGAGGGGGTTGAGAAATGTGACGTCACATCAAAATGCGCAACTTTAAATAAATATAGAATTGTTATAACAACACTCCTACAACATCAGAGTGCAGCGCCACATTAAATACGCACTACAATGACAATAGTTTAAAGCGATTTGAAGCATGTTTAATTTTCAAAATGGAAATATGGTTTTGGGGGGGGGGGTGGGCAGAGCTTTGTGACGTCATATTTGAGGGGGGGGGGTCTGACTTTTTTTGACGCCGTGTGACGACGGGGGGGGGGGTGAAAAATCGTTCAAAATCGCGTGACGTCATTTAGGGACGGCCCTATACCGAGCATCGCGGTCAAGTATAGTTAAGCAACCTCCAGCAGTGGATTGATAATCGGCTGTCAATTCTGACCTCATTATTGATCGGCGGTTTAGTTTAATGTTTGTTTTAAGAACTGGTATACACCACCGCACATGTACACAGGTGAGAGCACGGTGCTTTAATGCATTGCGGTAACAGTCAATTTCGAGCAAACAATTCGTGGCGACGCGGCACTAGAACATTGTTTGCCCGGTACGGGCTGTGAATAGACAACCCCCAGCACGAGCTAAGCGCACTGCAGCAAAGATCAAGAATGACGAATTTGTGACGGCTGCAAACACAAACTGCGCTGCTGTGTGGGCATCATGGGTGTAAAAAAAAATAAAACATATATATATAAGCAAGAACTCCATCCTGTTGTTTACACATATAAATACACAAAAAAATAATAATCATTTGAGCCAGACTGGCTCAAATGAGCCAGTCAGATTGGCTTCGGTTTTCTTTGGGACTCATTTAGCAGACTTCGTGTGTCAAACGTCACATCAGCGATATCATTTCTAAAGATGATCTAATACTAAACATGTCACGGGGTTTTTTTTTTAAATAATAAAAAAAATGTTTTTGCTCATATAGCAGCATTCACGTTCCGTTATTTACATCACACATTATTAATACATTCACGGATGCCATACTACTACTTCATCCGCAACCACCCGTGCGTTAACATTGTTTTTTTTTTTTAAAGCGGTCTTTTTGAAAGCGTGGAACTTTCCTAGTTACGCACGCACGTCGAATTTCCCACTCGGCACCAAAGAAGACAAAACGAATCACGGTTTCGAGAGCAGCGCAGACGCGACGCGCTCGCTGTACAATAATGAAAAAAGAACAATCCCTCTGCACACCCCCTAAGCCCACTATCCAAGTGTCCACGCGATAAACTTCCCGGGAACAAGTCCCGACAGCCCGGGTGTGAACCACTTTGCACGTCCACCAGCGGAACGCGACACCGCGAGTCAAGCGGCCCGCATTCCTCTGGATTGGGGTTCCCTAAAAATAAAATCGGACCGTCGGCTCCGTTTTTTGTAACCCCCCACCGCAGCTGCTGCTCCTCGAACGCCTTTAAATCGCTGTTGCTGCCCGGAGGAGGTCACGGGGGTTTGGGCAGTGGTTTTCTAGGGGATGGGGGAGCACCGATTGCCGCGTTCACAATGTCTCGAGCCATCGTGGGAGGGGGCGGCGGGGGGTCACACTCGGGTTAAGTCTCGGCAATCGGCAGACAGAGAGGCGTTGCTGCCACCTGCTGCACGAACGACGTCTCGCAGCGGCCACGTCCTGTTGCATTCGCGGTCCCAATGCGCCAGGCACGATCAACGAGATATAGAGCATTTGTATCTTTACCAGCAAAGGGCTCACACCGAGCAACGCAGCTCTCTGTTTGTGTCAGAAGCGACTTGGCTATCATTTATCATCACGTGGACAACTTTCGCAGCAGCAGTAGCAGCAGCCAGTGATTGCGGCTCGCGGCTGCGGCGTCGAAGTGGGTAAGCCACCAAACTCTCCTGCACATCGGGATGCTCGCCATCACAAATAATCATCATCAGTACCCTTCGCAGCGCGCTCAGAATCGGTGCACGAGAGTCGTCCACACTGGTCAGAGCCGCCGGTTGGCGGTTGCTGTCGCTTGGCATGGTGGAACTCATCGAGGCTGCTAAGGCAGCGGTGATTACAATCGACCAGGACGGGCCGGGCTCTCGCGGAAGGGGCCACGTGAATTGGCAGTGGTCGCTTGTATCACGCGGTGCGACGACCCGTCGAGCAGTAAGAACACCGGCGAAGTTTGGAGTGATGGTGGTTGTGCGTGTTTGCTGCTTTACGTGTGGTGGTGATGATGAATGGATGACGATGAATGAGGAGCGACGCTCACAACGAGCGGAGCGCCGGGTGGATAAAACACAGCAGGTTGGCGCAGTAGCGGGCACGGTTGGTGCATCGGCCGCTCATCTCATTCAGTCGGTTCATGGCACCTGCTGGGTCTGCCCCGTGACCTCCTGCCTGCGGGAGTTCGACACTTCACGTGGCCTCAACGTGCAACGTGCACCTAGCCTGGCACAAGCGCGTTGTGACGTCACCGCCACTTAATGGCGAATGGCGGTTGTTGTCGTTGATGATTTACGGTGCTAGGCACTCAGCGAATCAAATGAGCAAGCCTGTGGACCAGAGTTGGCCTGGTTCTACATTCCTAATCGCTTCAGCCACGCTTTACTTCGCGTATCTACATGGCCAGCGTAGACTTATATTGTCTGTCGCGTGTGCGACAACACGCACACGCTAATGCCCGGAGTTTATCAGATCGAATACGCCGGTGTATTAGCGTGAAGGGGGTAAAACAACAAAAATAGTGCACGTATAAATGTTAAACTACGTAGCCAACCGTGCTCATCGGTGGTGGAGGGGGGGGGAAGGTCACCCAACATAAAAGCAGTTTTAAATAAATTAGTTTTCAACCTAGATGATTGATGAGTGCGTAGCTCCAGTGGCTCCCTAATATCGGAAGGAAGAGCGTTCCAGACGGCCGCAGAAGCGCACCTGAAAGCGCCGCGCACTGTGGTGGAACGCACGTGATGGTGGTTAATGCTCCTTGACGAGATAAGCAAGGTAGTTGTGCTTCACTTGAGCAACGGAGTCTCTACCTCTGTACAGGTCATCGATAGGTTCGTAGAAATCTCCTAAAGCTCTTGATTCACGGGTGCTCACCAGTGGGAGCGGCTGTGCAATAGCTGGGCTCTCCAGTTATTAAATTATCCGGACTGCCCGACCGATAATTATTACTGTCGGATCGATCGCTCCGCCAATCGGCGAACACGACAACAAGTCTCGCTTCTGTTGCCGCGCGTGCCGCTGGACGGGGAGGCGATGGGTGCAGCTTGGTGGCATCACTGTCATTCGCGCCACGTTGGCCCGTGGCCTGTAGGGGTGGGGGGGGGGGTTCCCACCTTCGGGGGGTGGTTCGGGGCTAACCCCATTCTTAAAAGCCCCCCCCCCCAGTAAATAGCCGACTGCAATGTTTGAGTCGACAATCGTCGGGCCACGGCCAGCTCTGGCGGGCAGGCGCGAGCGACGGGTTCATCCACAGTGGGCACCGTGGATGAACCGTGGATGAACCGTGGATGAACCATGGATGAACCGTGGATGAACCGTGGATGAACCGGGCTGACGCCTGCTGCACCTGCCGCTGGGCCGAGGAGGCGGTTTTCATTTTCTGCTCCACGTTGGACAACGGCCGCGGTCGTTTGAGAGGCGCGAATCCGCACGCGCGTCGCTGACGCTTCTCCTCTTTTATTTTTGGGGGGGGGGAGATGGGGGGTGTCGAAGAGCGGTTCGGTGACCTCACGACGTTGGCTCGTTGTACAGTAATACCACGCTTTAGGTCTTGTTGCCCCCCCCCCCCCACCTTTTATACGTCGTTTCCCAAATACTTTACGTCGTCCCTTCGGTTGACACCGCCGCCAGCTTGACTTGCATCGGCCTCGACCCCCGCAGCGCACTCACGTCGCCGAGAGCATCGTCGCCCGTCCTTTCTCGCGTCGGCTCACGCCTCCGCCTATCGCGTGCATCGCTTTGTCGAGTTACCCCGTCGTGGTATTCGTCGTGACACCATTCAGGAACACCCCCCCCCCCACCCCTACACGACGTCAACCGGGGCACGACTCCTTTTAAAAATAATTATTCCGGGAATAAAGTGCTGAACTGCCCGAGGATGAACTCCAGCACCTGGGCTTGGTGAGGCATGTCGTTCATCGCCGACTGGGGACTGTTCATCTCTGAGCGGAGCAACGTTGGCCCGAACACGATCGCCAGATTCTCCACCGACATCCGATTCGCATCCCGATGCTTCGCCACTCTGCAAAGACAAGGCAAAGGCAGAGATCTCCCGTAAAGGCCTCGATAGAGCCTTGGAGCTCTACACCTACATCGGCCATATAATGATGATGATGATAAGGAAGAAGAAACTGATCAGCGTGGTGACACACGGTCAAAGACAAAGATCCCCCCGTATAGCATTATCAGACTGTAGGGGCAAGTGATGTCAGCGAGCACCTATGAAGGCCGGCACGGCACACGAGGCGTGGGTGGAGTGGCAAGCACCACGCCCGGCCGCCTTTGTCTCTCCCCTGTGGTGATGTTAACAAGCAGCACCTAGGTGCTGATTTATTGCCGCGTTCGACCGAGTGGAGGCCCAGGACCGGTTTGTATATTTGCCACTATTTATTGGTCATGAGCGAGAATCAAACTCGGGTGGCCAGGTTCGTAGCGCGGCGAACACAAAAGGATGAGCAACCTGCCAGTTCGCCCGACCATCAATTTGTTTCACCAGGTGAGAACTTAAGAGGCCAGGATGAGTCTCCTTTTCAACAGCGACACTTGGTGGCCAAAATGACAAACACAGTAAACATTAAAAAAACGCAGAAGAACAAAGAAACAAAGAGAAATCGGAGAAATATCTCGAAGATGGAAATCAGAGCCAGAACAATCGCGTTACAGAAGCAATGGAAGAGTTTACACAATCGTAAATCATTATGAAATTAAGTAAAACATTTTCCTGTAACGAAAGTTGGCTCGGACAAATTGTAAAAAAAAAAAACTCCATTCAAAGTAAAACTACGTTACAGAAACAACGATAATTGCATGCTGATTATTGCGCAAGTATGCAAACGTGCTAATGAGATTTGTCAAATGCTGCTAGCAAGCAAAGTTACCGTAGATAGTCAACAGCTTAGCATCGTATCGTGATTTACATGGAGGGGTCGTCGCATACAATTTTGACACAATGGAATTCCAGGTGTTTGCATACCTGTCAACCCCTTATCAGTGCCCTACCTTATTACAGACCAATTCAGACCTTTTTGGTCACCCCGTGGTGCCCTTATGAATGTCAACGTTCATCCTACAAAGCCCGTATTGAAACGGCTGTACGCAGTATGGACCTGAAAACTCAATTTCCCTGTACAAGAATACGTAGTAAACCGTATGGGTTGACAGTTATGTGTTTGGGGAGTTGGAAACAGAGAACGAAGAGTAACCACGTGGTTTATTTTGTCCTAGTAGCTGCAATGTATTTCCAGTCCTGCGCGGCATCTAAAAATCCGATATCACGAGAATAGACACCACCTGCAAGGCTGGTTAGGAGTAGCTGATTAAGCCAGAACGCCACGCTTTTGAGTTGACCTAAATAAATCTATTTACACAACAGATGCCAACATCTGCTGCGCAGTGTGGCTTGGAACCGACCCATATGTCTTGAGACTTCGGCAAGTCGCTGCTTCCCAAAGTGCGCAAGCTGGATTGACTCCAAGACGTGCGTGCATGCTCGCATTTTGAGCGTTTGCAAACGCAAACACTTCACCACGGTCCTGGCCTTGCCTTAGGACGCGTGGGTGATAATCTAACCAAGGTGCAATGCTGTTAAGGGCGCACTGAGAATGTGAGTGAGCGAATGCCTAAACTTAGCAAACAGGGGACACAAAAAAACAGAGACCGATGCAAACACACAGAGACCACCATCCTCTCCCGCTTGTTACGGCAAGGGATGCACAACTGTTGTTGATTCGAGTCATCGTGCAAAGTCTGCCCTTGACTTCATAGCATCTTAACACGTAATACGTTGCGCTCCTCACCGTTTAAGGTGCCCAAAGAGGAACTTCATGGTCTCCAGATGTGGTCCAGCGAGGGAGTTTATCAACTCTCCAATGGCATATGTCCTTGCTTGACAGTTATTCATTCCTATGAGTAAGAGTCAAATTTTATTATCCCAGTGTAAGAAGCATGTGGTCAAATTGCGATCGGGGATTTACTGGGGTAAATTAATCTGGAGGAAGTACACAGCACAACTAAAATATAAAACTAAACAGTTTTTTTTTATTTTACCAGGTAAGGCCCACTGAGCTCTATAGCTCTTTTTCAGAAGTGACCTGGCCACAAATGATAGCTCAACGAAGTGGCTTATCAGTTGAAAATGTATAACAACAAAAAACTCTAAACACATGATGTTGATTCTAAATGTCGAGGGAGAAACCGGAGGGCCCGAATAAAATCCATGCGAACACGGAAACAGGCGTCAGGGTTGGGATCAAACCCACGACCTCCTGCATATACCAGGCGAGGTGGTTAACATCTCCTAGCCACCGTGGCGCAGTTGCCCTTTGGAGAGGACTCCACCCACAGCAGCAACACGGCTCGTCTCCGTGAGCTCAGGGCCTCCGACATGTACACGTGCAATCCCAATGGTCATTTGAAGCTGTGCCACATTCGACTTTTCAAAAAGCACTTGTCAATCCACTGCTGGATGACGGCCTCCCCGTGCCGTGCCATCTGGGTCATCACGAGGGTTCTTTGACCGGCACTTCGCCGCGCTGGTCGGAGCGGGTTGTTGTTGCTGAAGGCGGCGGGCATAGACGTTGTGAGCATAGAAGTACAGTTCACTTCATTATTTTTTGCTGCACGGCTCCCTACTGCCCACAATCTAGCCCCATGGCAGCCTATCGCAACCTGGCATGCGTGGCGGTCACCCACCCAAGCAACACCCAGGCTTCACCTGAGATCTGATGAGATCGGGCGCGTTCTGGGCCATTTGGTGCTGACTTTTGAGAGCACTTCATCCCAAATATTTCACACCGACTACAACGGCTCCCTCGAGCTTCATCTGCGCCAACCACACTGACCATGCTGGTTTAAATAACTTGTGTCTACGTATGGGTGTCCAACTGCTTTCTCACCGTACGTAGCCAACCGTGCTAAAGGGAGGTGCGGGGAACGACAACAAACTAAACACAAAAATGCAATTCTAAATACATTTGTTTTCAATATTTTTTTTAACATCAGACGGAAGAATGTTCCAGACGGCCGTAGAAGCGCATCTGAAAGTGTGTGCCGCAATGACCACCGTCTTTGTTCGATGCTCAGCCAAAAGGCGCTGCTGCTGCGAGGATGACCGGAGTTCGCGTGATGATGGTTTCATGCCCCTCGACGAGATCAGAAAGCTATTGTGGCTCATTTGTGGCACTTTGTGTGTAATGAGCACGACCTTATGAAAGTGCGCTGCGCCTGCAGACTCACCGAGGGCCTTCACGAAATCCCCAAAGTTCTTCTGCGGGATGAGCGACTCCGGCAGCTCTCGGAAAAACAACTTGAGGGCGCCGGAGACGACGTGAATGTCCGCCCACGGGCTGTCCGTGCCGAGGTCCAGTTTATCCTCTGGCCGGGGTGGCGTTGGACGCGGGTTCGTAAAGCAGGGTTCGTCGGGACAAGAGCGTGGTCGTCGCGAGTGAATACCGAATGGAAATCTTTCAACAACAGTCAACGTCCGAAAGAAAGAAAAGTAAAAGACGCGCGCGATGGTTTAACTCCGGGTCACCGGAGAAGTTCAAGAAGTTCAATATACAATAAACGAAGGCAAAGATGGCCCGTATAGCCTCAACAGACTGTTGGGGCAAGTGCTGTTAGAGAGCACCTATGAAGGATGGCAAAGTACACGAGGGGGTGGGTTGGTGGCCAGTACCACGTCCAACAGCCTTTGATGTCTGTACACCACACCAGGTACTCATTTGAGGCCGAGTTGACCGAGGGGAGGCCCAGGACCGGTTCGTATAATCGTCACTGGTGTTGGCCATGAGTCTCCGCGCTGTAGCGAAGCGGCGCTAGCCGCGACACTACCTCTCAACCTACGAAGACAGACAGACATCATGCGCATTGCTTGCTATGACCTCTTGATTGACCTCACTCTCCATCCCTCGAAGTAAAAGCCCCCACACGGTGGATCCGCTGGCTGGATGAAGAGCTCCCCCAGGCCACTGCCACACCTCTCTCGCGATGCTAGCGAAGTAATAAATCCAACCTGCGCGTGAACCGATTTACGAGCCCTGTTGCCTCGGTGGCAGCACATATCTGGTGCTGCCACTCCGCTGTTGTTATTATTTATCATCATCATCATCCCTACCGATGATGTGTACTGTCCTAGTGCGCTGACTTTCCTCATCAGTCGGAAAGGTCGGTTCTTTAAACGGCGTCGCTGCACTCTGACGGAGGGTGGGGAAAATCGTTTTGAGAGTAAATTACTGGCACACCTCGGTCGATGGCGTATCGCAGCTTTTGCACTGAGGCGAGGTTCCCACTCAGTCTGTAGATGCCATCGACCTGCAGGCCTGCGAGCAACACGTTAAGAGTTTTATAAAAAAAAAATTGTAAACACCATTCAGTCATTTGAACCACTGCCCCCCCCCACCCGTCACAGAGAGTCCACTCGTCGCAGAAACTTTATCGGATGCAACATTTTAATAATACACACCCCCCCTTTGTTAATTAGAGCAGGGTGATGCTCTTTTTTTTGTCTGTGTGTACAAGGCAAGCCCATGGCACATTTCTGTTACCAGCGGCATGGACAAAGGTGCCTATGAAACGAAACCCAGCGCTTTTCCCAATCGGTATTTTATACCAAACCTGGCTGCAGGGGCACTTTGCCAGGGCATTCAACTCACAGCTGGAAAATGTTACTTTACAATCTCGCCACCTACTCGTCCATCAATTATAAATAATAGTATTAACTCACTCGAAGAGAGAGAATGATTCAAAGAACCTGAAGGAATGATGATGGTGATGATGATGATGATGATTCATCATCACCATTCGCCCGGGTCAATTAAATTGTTTCTCATTTGTAGCAAATCACCAGTGTTTGTCTTACGCAGAGACTGCCCGCCTATCTTTTGAATATCTCATTTCTACAGCTGGCCCAAGGACCGCCAATGCATATGAGCACTAAAAGGTTTGTTCGAGCTCACATTCTTTACTTTCTAAAACCAAGCGTGGGTGTTGTTTGGCCCTCAGCATTGTGCCGTGCAGATTTGTATTCTCTTGGAGCACCAGCCCCTTGGCAAGCCTCCGTAACCACCTCTCTTATCCACTTCTTGCACGCAGAGCCTGACGAACGCAGGGACGGTGGACGCTTCGCGCGCGCACAGCGACTGCAGGGGGCAGCCAAACACTTGGTCTGTGGAGACACGGTGGGCGGGGGGGGGCACGTTTCAGCCACGTGTCACGCCGACCACGAGAGCTCTTCAGAGCCCTTTGCCAATGCACCGTTGGGTGAAGGCCTACCGACCCCAAGCCGTGTTGGTCGCCGGCGCGGTAGCCGTAGCGGTCAGCGCCGCGCTGCGCCACGGAACCCAGCGGCCCGAGCTCCATTCCCGCTCACGACCAACAACGGTGGCGAATTTTTGAACCGGTCCTGGGCTTCTCCTTGGTCGACTCAGCCTCAAACGAGTATCTGGTGCGGTGTGTAAACATCGCCACTCGGCAGACAAAGGCGGTCGGGCGTGGTGCTGGCCACCCACCACCTCGTGTGCCGTTCTTGCCTTCATAGGTGCTCGCTAACAGCACTTGCCCCTACAGTCTGATAAGGCTATACGGGGGGATCTTTGTCTTTTGACCGTGTGTTACCACGCTGATCAGTTTTCTTCTTCTTCTTCCTCATCATCATCATCATTATATGGCCATTGTAGGTGTAGAGCCAAAACTATAATTTTACATTCAGGTAGTTGAGCCAGATATTTGCGTCAGGAGTAGCGGAGTGTACCGTCGCGATAATGCCTTCTTCGTATTTGTGAATAGGGAATCGAGGCGTCAGATGTTGCATGGTTCTCTTGCTGAGTGATCACGGTCACACACTGGAGAGTTTTACATGTGCACGGCGAATTTTGGTTGGTGCCCGGGAGTGGGGATGGGCGGTGGTGCAGGACCGGCTCAGATTTCACTCGCCGCTGACATTAGCCGTGGCCGTCAATCGAAGTTGGCTCGCCCGGGTTCACAGCGCGCGAGCGCTTACCGCTACACCCGCTGCTCTCCAGCACAATATAGAAAGAACGAAAACGCCGACAACATACGCGTCGTGTGAACGCCATCGTGTTTGCTCATTGTGTTCACTCGTAACGTTCACATCCGATGTACAGTGGATCTCAAAATGCAGCACGGTCAGGGGTAGAACAGCGATGGTGAGTTTCAAAGTCTCAGGTTCAAACCTCGGTCAAGGACTTTTATTCAGTCATCATCCAGGGAGTGAGTTGGACTTCAGCCGACGCCGCTGCCGAGGTAACTCGCTCCCATCAATTTCACGGGATTAGACTCGCACTTTGCCTGCCTTAACCCTGCACGCATTTCGTGAAATAATGCTACTTAAATCGTACCTTTTATGATGCCTCTGTCCCTCAAATATTGCCTGGGAGGCCTCTTCAAAATGAGCTTCCGAAGCATCTCCCGTATGTTCGTCCTGTCCATCGACGGTTCGGTTCTGCTTCTGGCTGCGGTGAAACAGCACGGCGCCAAACACACAGAAAGACGTTTCCCCCGGCGACACGGAGTTCGAGTCCCACTCACGGTCAACGTCGGTCACGGATATCTGAAACCGGTCCTGGCCCTCCGCTATGTCGACTCGGCCTTCAAATGAGTACCTAGCGCAGTGTTTACAAAACCCAGCACTGGGCAGACACGTGTGCTGTGCTGGCCTCCACATGTGGTGCTACTCGCTAACAGCACTTGGCCCCAACAGTCTGCTCGGTAATACCGGGGAATCGACACTACAACGTGCTTCAAAACAATGTTAACACTTATATGGGACTATCGTTTTTAATGATACACTGTACAAGTGATAACAAATGTATGTTAATAGCTTCAGAAAGTCAAAGAGTCTCCACTTGTTCGCCATAATGATCAACACGTTGCCTGGAATCTTCTCCAGGTGGTCTCTAGAATCTCGGAGGCACATTTCTTGCGGTATTTGTTGCAAATTCTCCGAAGCGTTAACATATTTTTGAAGCACTCTGTATCTCAAACAATTTTATTCTGATTTAAAGCTTTCGTGACTGCAGGGATTCATATTCTTGGTTCTTTCGGTAAAGTCACGTAGAAGGGAAACAATAAAATAATACAAATATAAAACAATACAATTCTCACTATGTTTCCCTTCTACGTGACTTTACCGAAAGAAGCAAGAATACTATAAATGATGCGAGTTATTGTGTATGAAGCCACATTTCCAAACCTGGTGGTGTTCTTTCTTCGCGTGGGCAGCCTGCAGGCTTTGTAGGGCCCAGTCCGTCGATGATGACATTCTTGTAAATGCGTTCACCTGTGGGACTCTGACAGGCCTCAAAGACAACGTCAGGCCGTACAGTGTATATTTACTCTCGGCCCTCCGACTTTGCCCAATTACAATCGCGCATCAATGCTGATTCATAAACACACGGGGGGCGGAACAGCGTAATCAGATGCCAACTTTGCATTTGCTGGTGCACGTTTAATGATTATATTATCTGATGTGTGCATTGATGGGAGTGAGCAGGGCAGTGCCGTGGTTATCCCCACTACTGCTCCGAACTCGGTGTTGGGTCAGTTTAACACGTAGTCGGCTTTCGCGACAAATATCATCCATAATAGAGGGGGTTTTTGGGGGTTAGATCGCGTAAATATATAAATGTGTCGTTAAAACCCGCCACCAGCCGACACAGCCAACTAGTAAGGGTTGTCACGTAAACAGAACATGATGAAGCTAGTTGTAATTACTGGCAAAACGTCGTACTCAGATTGTTAATGTTGTGGCTTGGCTCTCCAACACACCGGTGGTGCTGTACTAGTGACGAATTGTCCACGTTCTGTTTACGTGACAACCCTTACTAGTTGGCTGTGTCGGGTGGTGACGGGTTTTCACGACACAACATTTATATATTTACGCGATCTAACCCCAAAAAAACCCCTCTATTATCGGTGTTGGGTTTAAGTTTTATTCCAAGCCATGGCTGACATCAAACAGTGGTCCTGAGTTCCTCCTCCCTTCATCAACCTGTACTGAGCGGCTTGGCGAAATACGTTCAAACAACCCTCACCGAGGCAAACGTGGCATGGGGAAGTCCTCACCGTCCAGCAGTGCATTGACAAGTGGCTGCAAATGAGTGTCCGTTAATTAACGGCGAGGTTCCCTTCTTCCTCACAGGGCAACCCCGCGTGTCCTCCTACCTTGGCGGCGTCAAACTACGGACGCTGCACCGCGTGGAACGCACCTGTGCCTCTATCGCCTCGTGGATGTGCTCGTACCACTGGGCGATGTTCACGTCTATGTCCGACTGCAGCAGGTAGCAGTCGCTCTCCGCCGTGGTGAGCTGCAAGGGAATGCATCGGCGGCGGTGGGGCGGGGGGGGGGGGGTCAAGGGGGTGACGCTGACCCCGCGTGTCACGGTATGACAAAATAAGAGGAGGTTTTACCCTTTCTGGCAAAGAAACGGGCGTCAAGCTGTTAAGATATCACGGTTGTCGTTAAAACCGAGCGATTGGGCGGCGGTTAACGCGCTGCACTGTGGACCTGGCAACCTGAGTTTGAGACCTGTCCACTTCTCAACTCTCTTTACAGAGTTGCCCTTTACAGAGGGGGGTGCGCCCTTCATTGAGAGAAGCATATTTTGGTGGTTTATTGTTAAATCGCAAGAGGCAACATTTATCGTACATTTACTCAAATATAAAGCCAATTCGAAATTGACATTTCTTGAGAAATGTCGTTGTTTGTTTTTAGTTTGGCCACGTAGGGTTGCGAAAGAGCTTATATGTACATGTAACATCAATGACGAGTGAAGTGTGGACCGGTTCACTCCTGCCTGCCCTGTGACCAACATTCACGCACTAGTCGTGGTGAAGTACAATCAAGCAACCCCCATGTTCTGATGAGGTGTGGATCGGTCTTCAGCAGTGGATTGACAAGGTGTTGTACAGGCACCTATCTGACCTTGCAGCCACCTACTCGTCCAGCTACCTGCACACCTTCCAACACGACCGCTGCTGGAACACGTGCAACTGTCCCCTTTGCAGATACTCTCATATTAAAGCTCACCATCTTGACATAAAAAGTCCCAATCACGGTGATCCACCACACGTGTTCAATCGCCTAGTTCACAAATATTTCTGACCACCTATTCACCACCATCCAATGCATCATCCGTTCTTGACAACAGTGTTTTTCACTCATTGTCAGAGGAGGGCGGAGGGCACCTTCACCGGCAAGCCATCATCAGTGCGAGGGCCGCCACACCATTGGACACCATTTGGAGGGTTTGACAGCAGCACGACGATCAGAATGGGGCGGCTGTTTTACTCGTTGTGTTGTCGCGGGCCGAACGTTAGGAGCCGCGCTCAAGGCCACCGGGGCCGCCAGTGGCCCCCGGGTCGTGCAAGCCACGATAGAGGTTTTTTTTTTGGGGGGGTTAGATCGCGTAAATGTGTGTCGTCAAAACCCGCCACCGCCCGCCACAGCCAACCAGTAAGGGTTGTCACGTCAGCAGAACGGGACAATTCGTCACTAGTACAGCACACCGGTGTGCTGGAGAGCCGAGCCACAACGTTTACAATCTAAGTACGACGTTTCGCCAGTAATTACAACTAGCTTCATCAGGCGAGGCGACAGCCAGATTTGTGGAGAAGTCCACCTGTCTCGTTCCTTATATAGATGCGCTCTTGCGCAAAGTGGAGGGGGGGGGGATTAAAAATGAAACATTGCTTCACAACAGCCAGTGACAGTAGGGACACTCATCGTCATGTTCACATCGATGTAACCGTTGTTAATACAACTTTGAATTGCACGTTCTTTAAGCGGCGCTCCTGCTCTCGGGGCGAGCGTGCGGAGGCTTTCACATTTCGTTCGTCTGATTTTCTGGGACAGCTGCATTCTTTTTCCCTAACACTGCACATGTTTGTGCAAATTGTTGCTGCTGCTGCTGCTGTGTTGGCATGGCTTCACGGCTTTCACGTATGAGCGGATGTGTTTACAGTCGCATCACTCTCGAGCTAAACTCTGTCCGCTGCCATTAACGCACCGCTGCTGGGCGCGTGGCTCGCAGCGCGAGGCAGGGGAGGGAGGCAGGGAGGGGACGGAGGGGGGGAGGGAGGGAGGGAGAGGAGGGAGGGAAAGAGGGAAGGAGGGGGGGAGGGGAGGAACGGAGGGAGGGAGGGCTTGTGTCCACAGGGCGCTACCTGGATGACGTTTCTCTTCCTGTATTCCTTGTCTGTCGCTCTTTGCAGCTGAGCTCCCAGGAGGCTGATCTCCTCTTGGGCAGTTTTCTGAAGCATGGAAGAAATAAAACGTTATCTTTGGTTTTAAACGACCAAAAACGATGACAACTTCCAATTCAAGTGGCACAGTCAATTTTTCTTTGGTTATTGCAATGCTCATTGAACATGTAATGAGCATTTATTATGGACAACATAGTAAACCACTGTAGTCTGCATTCCTTCAAAGCAAGAGGAGTAGCAAAACTATAGGATATCTCTCTCCTAAAGCCATCTCGTCGTGACTAGCATTTAACTCCTGAACATATTGTCATGCATAATAACAAAATACAATGTTTACTCTCAGGATACACACGTCAAATGGCATGCACAAGAATTACGTATTTAGATGTAATTTTTGTATTATTATTATATGCCCGTGCTATTAGACTGATATAACGAATTGCTAAACTATCAACTGCTGTCTATACATTGCATGCACATCTGCATTACAAGGCAATAACCGAACACTTTACATCGACATTTCTGGACAGCGTATATCTTGCAAGTAAATGTCATCATCTGTGCTTTTGTTTTTCATTACGACGGTGCTCAGCGAGGTGATCGGGTTGCATCCCCAGCGGTGCAAAGGGTCAGACTCACTTTTGTCTGACGTCAAGAATGCAGAGTCACGGTATACTTTGCCAGGTGAGAATTTGAACCGTGCACGGCAGCTCTTTTACCAAACTAGAGACTCGTTTTATTTTACCAGGTGAGTGCCCACTGAGCTACGTAGCTCTTTTTCAGATGCGACCTGCCTATCGCAAATGATAGCTCAACGAAGTGGCTTATCGCGTGGCAATGTATAGCAGCCAAATACTCTAAACGCGTGGTGATGTTGATTCTAAACGTGGAGGGGAAAAAAACCGGAGGGCCCCGGAGAAAAATCCACGCGACCGCGGAAAGAGAGAGACGAGGAAAGAGAGAGACGCGCAAAACTCCAAATGTACAGGCGCCAGTGTTGGGATCGAACCCACGGACCTAGAAAGAGGGCACACCCTAGTCAAGATCGTCCGCAGAGATAACGTCGAGGGGGGGGGGGGTAACAACAGGATGATAACGCTGACCTTCGCGCTTGAGGACTTCCTGAAAGTCAAGCCCGACTCATGCAGCGTCACGTACACATTTGACCATTTAACCCTGCAAGGTCATGGGAGCGGGTGGGGGGTGCGACAAGAAACGTTTTACAAGCTCCACACGCGACCGCAGATAAACGAGTCCACGCAGATTAACACGGCCAGCTCCTGTGCACACGAACGACCGCCATAGTAAACCGCAGAGTTGTTTTCGTCGGCGCAAATGCGCATCGAGGCATCGGTGTTCATCGCCTGCTCACAGCATTGAGCTCGTGGTGAAAATTGACACACATTTGTACGGCGCGGGCGCGAGTCTTTCCATAGGACCACCGCTGTTGACTTCCCCACAAAGTGGTATTCAATTTATCTACCCCAGGAGGAATGATGGGCTGGGTCAACCAACTCTCCCCCTACTCCTAACCAGGAATTGAACTGGCAAACTTATGATTTGCGAGCTCGACCACTGAGCTACGCGATTTTAACGGTGCACAAGTACAAATAACAAATAACAACAACTTAACACGTTTGTCAATAACGTTACAATAATAGGAAACAATATGTTGCCAGGTAATCAACCAACCTTCGTCATAACAGAAGTGATAATGCCTGAAACCTTGCCTATCATATATATTTATATTTGCTCCACTGTAGGGCAGTGGTGTTGCTATTTTATGTTCTGTGCGTTTGAAGAGAAAGTGTGATTTTTTAAAATGCTAATTTTATGTTAATCACATTTACACAAAAATCCCTGTTCGAAATAATACATTGCGACTTCCGTTGGCATATGAGCCAATTGTTATTGTTGTTGGGAACTTATTCACTAGCTGGGATTATGTTTTATATAAGGCTCGAGGAAGGTAGGGGGTGAGGAGAGGTGTGGGGAGAGGAGGAGAAGGAGGGAATGCCTTTTACAGCATTCCCTCGTTATTCGCGAACTTGCTCTCCGCAATTTTGGCGATCCGCGAATCACATCTGGAACTTTACTCGACTGCATTAAGATAGAGAAAGAAAATGGTGAGATAAAGTGATTTTGATAAAGTGATTAGATAAAGTGACGAGAGATAAAGTGGCGAGAGATAAAGTGATGAGAGATAAAGTGACGAGAGATAAAGTGACGAGAGATAAAGTGTCGAGAGATAAAGTGGCGAGAGATAAAGTGACGAGATGTAAAGTGATGATAGATAAAGTGATGAGAGATAAAGTGACGAGAGATAAAGTGATGAGAGATAAAGTGATGATAGATAAAGTCATGAGAGATACAATGATGAGAGATAAAGTGACGAGAGATAAAGTGACGAGAGATAAAGTGATGAGAGATAAAGTGATGATAGATAAAGTCATGAGAGATACAATGATGAGAGATAAAGTGACGAGAGATAAAGTGACGAGAGATAAAGTGATGAGAGATAAAGTGACGAGATGTAAAGTGATGAGAGATAAAGTGACGAGAGATAAAGTGACGAGAGATAAAGTGATGAGAGATAAAGCGATGAGAGATACAGTGATGAGAGATAAAGTGACGAGAGATAAAGTGACGAGAGATAAAGTGATGAGAGATAAAGTGACGAGAGATAAAGTGACGAGAGATAAAGTGACGAGAGATAAAGTGGTGAGAGATAAAGTGACGAGAGATAAAGTGACGAGAGATAAAGTGACGAGAGATAAAGTGATGAGAGATAAAGTGACGAGAGATAAAGTGATGAGAGATAAAGTGGTGAGAGATAAAGCGATGAGATATAAAGTGATGAGAGATAAAGCGATGAGAGATAAAGTGATGAGAGATAAAGTGACGAGAGATAAAGTGATGAGAGATAAAGTGATGAGAGATAAAGTGGTGAGAGATAAAGTGATGAGAGATAAAGCGACGAGAGATAAAGCGACGAGAGATAAAGTGATGAGAGATAAAGTGATGAGATAAAGAAATGAGAGAGAACTTCTCGAAGCTTCAGACGCATCTGCCGAAGTGACCCGCGAGAATGTGCAATTCACGAGCATCTCTGGGAACGTATCGCTCCAGATAACGCGGGAAAGCTGAATACGAGAGGGCAGTGCGCTGCGTTTATATATTGGGGGGGGGTTCTCAAGTAGGAAGATGGGGCGGGGGGAGTCGATCTTGGAGGAGTGGATTAGAGAGAGGGGGTTGTAGTTGTATTGAGGCATTGCAAACGATACCATGGAGTGTACAGTGCTTGCTGAAAACAAGCAAAATTATTATTATAACTTAGTCTTTAATGATGACGATGATGATTATTATTTTTATACCTTAGTCTTTAATTAATTATTATACCTTAATCTGTTATTATAATTAGTATACCTTAGTCTTTTGTTATAATTATACCTTAGTCTTTTGTTATCATTATTATACCTTAGTCTTTTATTATAATTATTATACCTTAGTCTTTTATTATAATTATTATACCTTAGTCTTTTGTTATAATTATTATACCTTAGTCTGTTATTATAATTATTATACCTTAGTCTTTTGTTATAATTATTCTTATACCTTAGTCTTTTGCCTCCTTCCATTGACTTGGCTGTGTTCAGTGTTCCCATTTTTAATTGTGCCTTGAAGAGAGAGAGAAGAGAGCGACAACTCAAACGGGGCAACGTCTGCACATTAAAGGAGTGCAAAACACCTCAGATGGTTTTACTTAATCTGCCTCCAAATACATTTCCGTCTCTATAAAATGGATCAGAATGATAATACGTATCACTGCAGGGACTCATCTACTTACGAACGAGTTCGTTTCCAGGGATCTGTTCCTAAGTCCCATTTGTTCCGAAGTTCAACTTTACTCCTGTCGAAGCCAAACATGTTGTACAGCATGGACACTAAACACGGGCAATCTCTCTAAACGTTCTATAATCTCCTGTAGCTGTAGATGCCACTGGTTCTTCACGTTCTGCAGATGTAGATGCCACCACCTCCATCTATTGCGCGGTGGTTGCACTTACGACTCTCGGTCTGAACAGGCAACTGGACATGCGGACCAGGTTTGTTCATATCTCTGTTAGTTCGTAAGTCAAATGTTCGTAAGTAGAGGAGTCCCTGTACAAGAACTCTGCATAATGATGAAACAAGCCCGTTAGATGCGAACAATCGAATCGCGTGCGGCAACACTCACCGTTGTCAGAGAGGCCATGGAGATACTCTTCGTGAGCATCGTCCTGTTTCCCGCCACGTCCTGCGGCAGATCACACGGGGCTACCGTAAACGCTCGGGCACACGCCACTCAAGCCATCGCTGGACACACCGACCTCACTGGAGTTCCACTCGCGTTAGCCAAGCGTTGTTGGAGCGGGCCGCAGGTCGTCGTTGTTGTTGTGCAGCGTCTGGAGCTGCAGAGATTTGATCGACCCCCTCCTACTGGGCTTAAAATTCACGATTTGTTCGTTGTGAAAAAAAAAAAGCCGACAGCCCGAAGACTAAAAAAAAAGTATTTTCATTTCGATTCACAAAATGCACTACGCACATCTTGTTCCCGTTCTCTGCCAGCAAGGCGACCCGGTGTCATAGTGATGATTTTCTTTTAATGTATTGCCGTAGTCTCAGACTGTGACTTGATCTCGATAATGTTACACACGCATGCATGCACGTGGTATTTGAAGGAATGGTGGTATAGAGCGATGAATTGCAGTAGATGCAAAAGCTATGCCTAATGCGTTGTAATCTGAGTTGTCATCATTCTGGGCGTGTCAGTTTGTCTTAATGTTTCTATCCGATTGAGAAAGCTTTTATTCGTCCGAGTGAGTGTCACTTTGACAGAGTACTTCAATGCACTATCATAAAGACGTGACTTCACACTTTAATTGATGGTGAAAGATCGGCCCATCATCCGTTTAGGGCTAACAAAACAAGCACCGATACATGGAGATTAACTGCGGTACTCAGGGCGAAACTGATGCGCACCATGGAAATGTTGCATTTATACCAATGATCCAGGGCTACCACTGTATATGAGCATTGCTTCGTGGTTATTGGACGATGGCTGCCTTCGACCACATGGACTATATCATAAACTGCTGTGGTCTGCGCGCCTTCAATCGGAAGAGGAACAGCGACACGACACGAACTCTCTCCAGAAGCCCTCTCGTCGCGGCCAGCGGCAGACCTCGGCATCGGCTTTGAGCTCCTGAACACATTGCTGCACTCGTACGCTCGCACAGAATACAATTTGACACTGACGCTGAATTCACGCGTAGCATTAGTCCAGTGTTCAGCCTCCAGGAGGCGACATTGTCTCGTCCCAAACACACAGATCATTTGGACGCCGAGATATTCGCTGCTGGCTGGATCAACTCCGATTAGCACGGCTGGCTACGTATGGTGCGAAAGAAGTTCAACCCATACGGTTTACTCAGTAGTTGTGTACAGCCGTCCCCATACGGGCAAAACATATATTTGTGAATGGACTTTGTAGGATGAACGTTGAGATTTATAAGGGCACGGGATGACCAATAAGGTCTGAATTGGTCTGTAATAAGGTAGGGCACTGATAAGGGCTTGACATGTATGCATACGTACATTATGAACATTATTCTCCCGCATCCTTCTGACATCACAAATATACACAGCTGCTCACTTGGCCGCACGTCACTATTTATTATACACGCAGCCCCAGTGGCCACGGTAGTGGCTGAACTTAGCGTGGTCCCCCTGTCCTCCATATAGGTGATAGGGCCATTCCTTGAGTTGTGGAGAATGAGTCATTGAGTATTACAATGAAATCACCCCCAGATTCACCAGACAACTGTCACAACAGCACGGCTACCAGCTGCGCCGCCTTGCGTGCGTCTAGCGGTGTTACTAAAACCGCACCGCGCAAGCGACCTGTCGCAAATACTCGAGCCGGGCGGTTGTGGCGCATGCACTTGCCACCCGGCAATGCGGATGCGACAAGGGTTGGTGAATCGCACACGCGGTGAAACTCCCTTCCCGTGGGCGTCGCGGAGGTGCCACACCCTGGCATGGCAGAAGGTGGGCTGCAGCAACGCCTGGACTCCACCTGTCGCGTCTGTACGGGATCGAGCGTTGCTCCCTCACACGTGTGGTCGGTAAACATATCAACATGGAGCGGAGCGCGGAACTCTGTGGGGTGGAATACAGCACCGGCTCACGGCGTGGCTGCCTTCCCACTCGCCTGTGGCTCCTTCTCATGCCTCTCGAGTTGTTTTCTCTCTTCGAGAGCGAGTGAATAGTGCTCAGCGCGTTACAAGTGGAAGTAGTTATTCTTATTAGCATGCCAAAAATGAAAGACGTTAGTTACACAACAAGCAATGCCCCATTCGCAAGACGGAAGGAATTGCTCCAGAGACCCTTGGCCTAGCTGTAGCCTCATTGGCTGTACCTCTGTGGGTACACTCGTGGAAGCTTCTTGCTGGCCATGGCTCTCGTCAAAGGGCTCTTCTCAGGGCGGAATGCGTTTTGTTTATCTCCCATGCAGCGGATGAATCATTATTTTAATCAAGGCAATTTGACCCAAATATATATATTTTTACTAAAATTTGGCAACAAGTGAAATGTTATCATCTCTTATGTGCGGCATATTTGTTTCGAACATTTTTTAAGGCAGCATCCTCATTAAACAGTTATAACTACTGTCCTTGGGGTTTGCTGTATCAAGATCAAAAGTCGCCATCTCAAAACAAAACCGCTGCTATGTTTGGGGCTCTGCGTGAGTGGGGAGCGGTGGTGCAGCGGTTAGCGCTGCGCTGCGCTTTGACCCCGGCGACCCGAGTTAAACTCCCACTCACGGTCAACACCAGTGACGATTATCTGAATTGGTCCTGGGCCTCCCCGAGGTCGACTCAGCCTCAATTGAGTTGTTAGTGGGATATGTAAAAACATTGCCACGAGGGAGACAAAGGCGGCCGGGCGTAGTGCTGGCCACCCACCCCCTTGTGTGCCGTTCCGGCCTTCATAGGTGCTCACTAACAGCACTTGCCCCAGCAGTCTTTTAAGGCTATACTAGGGGATCTTTGTCTTTGTGTAATAGCAAGGCAAAGCAAGGCGCATGGTGTCTGGAGCTTGGAGAACATCATGATAGGCCTGAATTCTTCCCTCTCGGTCATCTTTGCTCCTGGTGCCCTGCCTGTGTAGACATTCCTCTTTAGTCTTCTGCCTGTGACTGTCCGGCTCTTCCATTTCAAGTGCTTTTCAGCGCACCTCACCTTAAACCGCGTGCACAGTGCATCCACAGTTAATTTCCCTTTACAACGATCGCGACGACGCGCTTGCGACCGCCCTCCACCAGCGTCTTTGGCAACAGATCGCATTCAAAGGCTCCGCACATTCACACCGTGGTGGTGGTGGTGGTGGTGTTGGTTTTGTCGGCCACGTCAACGCCTCCAAGCCACAATGGCCTCCGGTATGTAACCCAACAACAAATCCCTCCCCCCTCGGTTGGACACTGTCAAGCAAACTTTGGCGTGCAGCTGGCCTTGTCTCTTCCTCCTCGCCGAGAAGTCATTTCTGCGGAGCAGTAGTTGGGCGTCTGCGCTTCTTCTTTCACCCAACGTAATCCCCAATTCTCTGTTCCACCATTAGTTTACCGGCTTTGTGAAAGAAAAGAAAAACCGCCACGCTTGACTTCAGTTTAAATATCATTGAGCGACATGCCACAAGAGGCTATTGACAATAGCCAAAAGTAAAGTTCAAGGCGAATTCACGCTTGAATGGACACCGAGTCGTTGTCCATTCACCGTTTACGGCCCTGAGCCAGTGGTGTAAATTCCAAATTCCCATGGCGGGAGAAAGCATATCCATAGAACAACCACTGTTAACTTCCCTACAAAGCGGTACTAACTGTATTGACCCCTGAGGGATGATGGGTTGAGTCAACCCCCGACCAGGATGTGAACTCACAACCTTCTGATTTTGAGTTGCTCGCTCTACCGCTGATGCCCCTTGCTGGGTTTACACTTATGGTGTGAAGTGGAAGCTGCAGCCATGTATCTGTACATTTGCAGTCGGAGGATCTTATCAGGCCTGGTCGCGTTGGGGCAGAGTGCCTGACTCTCAATCGGAAATCAGGAGTGGTTTCTGTGCTGGCAGACACTTCACGGCGACTATAAACCCGAAAATCACGAGTTCAACTCCTGGCTCACGGCTAACATCAGTAGCTAGTGAAATACTCTGAATATATGTGTATATATGTGTATATATATGGAACGACCATAAAGGACATCGGTGTCGTGCTGTAGGTCATGTCACAAAATACTTAAAGTGGCATAAATTGAAGAAAATAACCCAGTCCATGGCACTGGACACCGGACAGCCCAAGTATCTTCAGCCGGGTACGTGGGAAAGCTAGGAGAGGCCAAGGGGCTTCCTCCTGTAAACATTGCCCCAACGTTGGTCCAACGTTGGTCCAACCACATGCAACGTTGGTCGAACGTTGGGGGAATGTTGGTCCAACGGTTCCAACCACATGCCAATGTTGCTCCAACGTTGGGGCAATGTTGGACCAACGTTGGGGGAATGTTGGTCCAACGGTTTCAACCAAATGCCAACGTTGGTGCAACGTTGGCAGGTTTTTCTGGAGTTGTACAACATTCGTGCACCAATTTGTGACTTGTTTGTTTTAAAAAAAAAAAAATCCGAGTCGAGGTGCCTGTGACACTCTAGGCTTCCAACCAAAAAATAATTATATTTACCCAATGTTCCCCCCATGCACAGAATCACTGCTCATCAACTCATGTGTGAAGGTGTTGAACCGCTCAGCCGCTAAAGGCGAGGTCAGAGTCATCCGAACGTGAAGGTCGCGCAAAGGAGAAGCAGACCTCGATGAAAAATGATCTCTGCAAATATCGCCCATCAACTCCAGCCATGGCGTCCACCAATCTGCCCGTTCACCACACTGAGTCGGTGCCAGTTGCATTGTGGGGTGGAGGTCACCCCTCCACCCCACGTTGGTCAGTCTCCTGCATCCCTTTAACTGGCCCGGCACTGACCAGCCTGGCAAATTATGATCAAACAAATCCCAATGGCCGCCAGGCATGGGGAGTCCTTCTTTACAGCACACGTTGACAAAGAGCTGCGCGGAAATTATTTTTGACGCTCCCAAGATGATTCGCAATGGTTTAATGTTGTTGCTCACCTCTTTTCCCGTCTGTACATTCTCTTCCTCGACCTCATCATCCAGGCCCTCGTCAGTGAGCGAGCCACCGTCATTCTCCGCATTCGCCGTTGGTTTTTCGTACAGACGGCTGTGTTCCTCGCTGTATCGCCGCTCAAATATTCCGTGCGTGAGGTCGGGAACGCTGGTTGCCTTGTCACCACCCGATGCCTCCGACTCCTCCCTTGACTGGATCATGGAGACGAGAAATTCCACGTCTTCCAACCCTAAATCCTTCTGCTAACCGTGGACAAGAATGGCGTGTTAGCAAGCGCTGTAAAATTCCACTGCCGAGTGATATATTTAAAAATGCGACATTTCACACTTTATTTTGAAAAAATATATATATTTAATTTCTGCTTCTCAGTAACGGTGCAGAACCGAAAGAAAAAAAACAGGACAACGAAAGTTGTTTGCTGAATTAAATATTCTGCACTATTACCTGGTTGTGATCTCAGGGAGTAAAAATGAGAGCTGAGCTAGGGATGGGGGAGCAGAGGGGGAAGGAGAGGAGACGATAGAGAGAAAGAAGGCAGCAGTGGCTCTGCACACCTGTAATCCAGTACTGTGAAGGAGAGGGTTTTGTGGATCACACAGATGTAGTTAAACTGCCCTTCTCGCGGGTCTTGAGGTGTCATGCCCTGGCCTGCCAGAAGGCTATACAGCAAATTTGGACTTCATCTGTTTTCTTTGTATGGGATAGAGTGTTGCCCCCTCGCACGTGTGGGTCTTCTGCGGGTGCTACAGGTTCCTCCCACGTGTATATAAACAATCATTTCAATTGGCTGAAAACATCTTAACATTATATATAGAGAGAGGTGCACCGAGCTTGGAAAAATATGTGAATACATTTGTATTATTGTTGTTGTTGTTAGAAATGAGTGTCTGCCCAGGTCAGGGGTTGGCGACCTGCGGTAGCTCTTCAAGGGCTGGATTCGTGACGCGTCACGTATCAAGGGACCACCGTCTAGCAGCCTCGGATTCACACCCATCGCGGCTCTTCAAATATTGAGGTTATTCTTTTTGTTGTTAACCGTATCCGAAGAAAAATGGTTCTTGTTATTTTGACTGCCGACCACTGGGGCTAGAGTCACATCGACGTCTTCAGTTATTGCTACAACAAAGAGGCGCGCCCCCCACCGCAAACCACAATACCACGTCACGTTCCACATACAAACTCCATTCATCCACTTGAGTAGCTTAGAACACGTGCCTGTAACACTGCTATCGGTGTGAAATCCCGGGTTATGATAAAATCCTTCACAAGCATTGACATCAGCGCGAGTGAGCTGCTATCCGACCAGACGCACGTTTGGCTACGTACGGTGCGAAAGAAGTTGAACATACAACAGGTCCCTGCAGGGTGGGCTGGTAGAAGTTCGCAAATGAGATAATGTGACTTCCAAATATTGGGTGCAATAAGACATATCAAGTCTCTGCGCTGTCTATTGCTGATTTTACACCCAACAGCACGAGATTTCACTTCGTTAAAGTATTGAAAGGGGACGGACGGACGGACACATTAATCTATTGCAGGCTGGTACACTCAGTTTACAACTTCGTTCCTACCAGTATAAGTGGCAAACGTATCGAGTGGATGACGGTGCCCTAGTTCGACGGTATTCCGTGGGTATGAGAATCCCTTTGATTTGAATTCAAATTCACCGTCACCGGTTAGTTTTTTTCCACCACAGACGAAAGAGAGAACGTGAAACCGGAGTTTCTGGTTTTGAGACGCAAATAATAGATCTGCGATTAGACCGACCGATCCAGTTCTACCAGAAGCAGAGGGAGCACGCACAGGGAAAGCCATTAACCCCGTGGTAGATACAGGCTGGCCTAAAAGTCTGGAATCGTCGGGAAAAATAACGAATTAATATTTTTGTTTCTGCAGGCCCAAGATGTCTCTGAGCAAGGAAGATAGAGTCCAGATAATTCTATTTGTAGGAAGGCGAGAGTCATTGCGCACGTTCTGTGAATATCAGCGTTATTGTTGCCTTTTTTGTATTAATTTTTCCTATGATTCCAGACTTATGGAACACCCTGTATACAGTACTTTGGAAAAAAAACATGGGCAAAAATAGCAGGGCGTTATTCCACATTGCTTTACCGCTATACAATACGAATGTTTTCGTACGGTGCTGTTGACTTGCATAATTGTTATCCATAACACATACGCATTGTACGTATTAAAAAAAAGATAAAAGGTCTTTAGACATCGGTAGTTTACGTGCTTGAAGTACATATTTCCAATGGCGGAGCCAGGATTTTCAAGTGGGGGGGGGGGGGGGGGCAACCCCTCCAGCAATAAAAAATGATAGAGGAGTTGTTAGTAAGTAAGGACTTGTCCCTTGCCTTTTTATTCGACGCGTGTGCGGCGATGGCGCAGCCATCGATCGAGGGTCGAATTCGAACCGCGTTGTGTGATCGCCATCGTGCTCGCTGAAGGTGTCGATGCCTTCAGGGAAGTCGTGGACTGTATACGCAACTGCGCACAATTCTGTGAGTCACTTATAACCGCTTTGCCGTTACTTATTGCCAATTATGGACTCGGACTATTGTCCTATCATCTCAGAGTCCCTGGCACGTAATAATATGCTACACAGTGGCAGTGGGGGTCGCAAAATGCCGATTTATTACTAATAAACCCCAATGATCCGATCGAAATTAAGGATTTCGATCGGATCATTGGGGGGGGGGGCACGTGCCACCCCCCCCCCACACACTGTCTCCCTTGTGCATATTTCAAGCAAGTCGTTTGGGAAGGTTACACGTGGCCCGGAACTCGTGTTGTTTAACAATGAGTTGACACTCAAGAGTCGGGTTTGAAATAAAGGGTTATAAATTATGATTGCTGTATTGTCATTATTTATATTATTTTAATCACCCTGACCTCAGTGAAACGTATCTCCCGGTGAAGAAAAAGCAACGTCTACTGCTTACATTGCTGAGATTTATAAAAAGATACTATCGCCAAAAGACAAAATGCATTTGTGTGCACGCTTTTGTAATTCAATTCGGAGGCTGGTCAAGTAACGCGTGAGTGATGTTACGCATCCGGCACCAGCGTGAGCGCGTAAGACGTACACTCGACATGAATTAATTGTAGAACAAATTCTTACTTTACTCAAAGGGTCTTCGCCGGTTGCGATGAAGCCTCTGGGTCTTCGCGCTGGCGCTCACGTTGCTCACCTTGGGTACAAAGGTGCAAGGTGAGAAAGAGGAAGCTAATGGCAAAGCAGGTATGCGGATGCATCTGGCGGACTCATTTGCCAAAAGGTGGGTGTCGTCCCGCCCCATCAGCAGCTGGTGCCCTCTCTGTTGACTCTTTTGTGTGTCCCTCGGCGCAGAAGGGAAATGAAATTTCCTCCACCGCTGTGTGGCCACTGTAAGGGAGGGCCTTGACACCGCGCAGCGTTATTCGTGGTGCCGCATCGGCCAAGAGTACAGAACAGAAGAATAAAAGCCAAGCGATTTGTGTGGCAGTATTAATCGTACATTTGGAAGTAGGGGGTTACAGAGCCGTAAGTAAAACGTAGAGTTTCTCAGAATTAAATCATTCTGACACTTGCGCTTGTTTTCGTAACAGCATTGCGTCATGCACTTATGCACTTATGATTGGCACCTCCGGGAGGGCGAGGTGCTGCACGTACAAAAACAATACTTGAGCCGTATCATGAGAGAGGAAGAATAATCTCGCAATACCCGAATAGGAAAGAAACACGCGTGAATGTGCCATCGTCACACGACTGACAAACGTCCCCGGCAGACTGACAGATTTCCCCCCCCCCCCCCACACAGCTGCTTTAAAAAAATGACATTCTGAGAAAAAAACCCACGACATATGTATGTGTGGTTGTTGTTTTTTAGTTTCACGGTCGTTTTAATTCTATGATACAACACGAGAGACACACTCGTGCCTGTGCACCTGAGAACGTCACGTCAGAATCCGGATGGAATTTAGACAAAGTCTTGTTTGGCTACTTTTGTCAGAAAAATGAAATTGGTTTGTACATATGGACTTGGGGGGGGGGCGGGGGGGGGCGGGAATATCATTCTAAATATAACCCTCCGCTGAATGTCAATCCACCGTTGCGTGAAGACTTACCCACGCCATCTCAGTCATTGGCGTTGTTTAACCATACTTCAGTGAGGGTTGAAGGAGGAAGCCAAGACCGGTTCAGACATGGCTCGCCACCGATACGAGCCGTGTCTGGGACACACAGAACAGTCGCGCTAACCACTGCACCACTGCCTTCTTCCTTAGTTCAATGCCAATGGAAATTTAGCAGTGAGATTCAGGCAGGGTTTCCATACGTCACATCCCATTCACATTGTTCATATTTTCACAGTTTTCCTCTCGGTTATGAAATGTTTGCAGCAATGCCCCCCCCCCGCCCCCCGCTCAGCGGAGGCAAACTGTATGCAATGGATGCTGCGTGAGGTTCATACAACGGTATTTAAAGTACATTATTGCAGTATCTGTAAGGACGATGTTTTTGTATAGGTTATATCGCAGACATCCAATAATCCGCGAATCCCTCTAACTCGTCCAAGTGGACACAGCTGACGTGGAGCTGAAGAGAGAGAGAGAGAGAGCTGCAGGGGTAAACCGAGAGGGAAAGATTTTCATTTTACTTAGCAATTTATATATTTTTTTGTTTTATGTTGCACAGATAGTTTTTTTTTTTCTGTTTAAATTTGGATATCAAGTCTAAAACAAAAGGTGCAGCATTCCTTCGTCATAGACCCACGTGGCAGATTTGTGTAATTTTGGGTCTTAGATAAGCTCGTAACTTGCCGATGTGCTAGATTATCGCAGATTATTGTAGCCGCCAATTACGTGTCGAGCTTCTCTGGGAATCCAAAACATTTCCGTGGATGAATGGAGTCACGCGGCAAATTCCCGCCTGTATACTCCGTGGCATACCGCACTGACGCGAAAAATAGATTTTACAAATGTTTATGAAATATTTACGGCTGTTCTCCGCGGTGTGCCGCACATAACAGGGTCCACGATGTGGTCCCCCCCCCCCCCATATCAAGGCAGAATATTGGATTTCTGATGTACAGCATCGCTGTGAAGGGCTGAAATCAAAAGGTCAAGGTTCAAATTTTGGTCATGCGTCAATTCTGGTCCAGTGAGCGACACTTTTTTCGGAAGTCAACATTTGGGGTCTTATGGAGAGAGCGTCCCCCGCCATAGTAATGTGGAATTCCCACCACTTGCTCGGGGCAGCCAAGAGAGATGAGCACCAGCCAATATTCAATTAACCCCGGAGACACTTTGACACGTTGATAAATGTAGATGACATATTGCTCAAACAATTTTCTTGACTGACTGTTCCACGTATGCAAACATATACAGCCGTTCTAATCTCCATTTATATTGCATTCAGGGCAAAGCACTTTGTACATTTTCCTTGAAATGAAAATAAAAAACGTCATGTGTCAAGGTAAAGGTGCAGCGCCTGCAAGTGCCCACTCACACCACTGCTAACAGAAGGTGCCTCAGCTGGAGGTGAGCTCAAGAGAGATCCATAATAGAGGGGTTTTTTTGGGTTAGATCACGTAAACATATTAATGTGTCGTTAAAACCCGCCACCACCCGACACAGCCAACTCGTAAGGGTTGTTAGTTAAACAGAACGTGGCCAATTCGTCACTAGTACAGCACACCGGTGTGTTGGAGAACCAAGCCACAACATTAACAATCTGAGTACGACGTTTCACCAGTAATTACAACTAGCTTCATCATGTCCTGTTTACGTGACAACCCTTACTAGTTAGCTGTGTTGGGTTGTGGTGGGTTTTAATTACACATTTATATATTTACGCAATCAAATTCGAAAAAAACACCTCTGTTATGGATGATATTTGGTCGCGAAAGCCTCCTACTACGTGTTAAACTCAAGAGAGATGTTTGCCATTTTTTGGCAAGGACACGCAAATTCTTTCGTGTCGTTCTGTACCATGCTGCTCTATGATACCTGCCGACAGAGCAAGCGCTGGGCTCATCTTTCTCATGGTGATTACTTTGTTCGTCTGGTTTCCATGTGCGCTCGTGCTTATCAAACTGCCCCGTCTTTGGTTGCGACCAAAATCGGCATCGCATTGTTTTCGGGTTTTATCGCGTGTCGTTCGGCGTGATGTCCGACGTTTCGCAGAGCAACGTGCGATGCGATGCACAACCAGAAAACACATCGGAGAGCGGTGCAGCAGTGCAGCAGTGCATACACAGCGTTGCATTGTGGGGCCAATTCGTGCTTGGTAAGTGAACCTTTTCCCACAGATGTTTGACGGAGAACAACGGTCTAAACTTTCCATAGTATCGGCTGATTTGGCTGTTTTCCACAGAAAATTGACAGAAAAGTCGTTTTCACCAATTAATGAATTATGCCGCTTGGCTGTAAGCTGAGGCCGATGCCAATTGTGACGCTTTTGTGTGCTTGGCTGGCGTAGGCAGCCTTGCCTGTGTGCGAACTGTGTGGCTAGGCTGAGCACACAGCATACTGCTGCAGGACGCGTGTCCTCTGTGTGTGGGTTGCTAAGGGCTTTCATGGCCATTATTACTCTTGAATTCACTGTACGAGGGTCGGGATCCTGGCTGCCTCACTGGTGTAATCATATCAAAGGCAATTTGAGCACTCGAGACTTTCATTTCCTTCTCAATGAAAACATAAAACAATGTTTTAGCTCATCAGCCTGAGGGCTTTAATGAATATTCTCCTGCGTCTCGTTATGGCGCCTTTTGTGCTTGCATGTGCAGATTCAAAGCAAGAATGTCAGCTGTGCCAGCACTGTGCTCTAACCTGAGCCACCGGGACCATCTGACCTTCAATGTCACCATAGTTTAGGTATTTCCACCGCGGTAGTGCAATCATTACTCCCGTTGAGCGCGTAACCATCGTTTTGGCATTTCCCAGAAGAAAAAAACGTATAGGAATCCAGTGTTGTTTGTTTGTTTGACCACACGCACGTGAATCATTCATCCGCAACAAACGGACCTTCGCACGAGACTTTTATCAGGAGCCTCTCAACAAATATTTGCTGCCAGTCCTCTGCCCAGCGAGGGTCCATTTGAAGCGCATCGCGTTATTGACGTTCGACAAATGGGCACAAGGTCACCCACCGCACGCCGGGACGTGGCACGGCCAGGAAAGTGGCTGCCTTGAGTGTGGGCCCTGCACCTGAGAATTCGGCTTTGCTCTTGGCCCCCACGGGGCCGTCTGGCCTTGGCAAGGACAGGTGTGGTATGGGATAGGTGTGGCATGGGATGGGGATGGCATCGCCACGTGCCACTTAATGGTGGCCGCTTGTATACAGCGCCACAGCACCATCTGCTGTTACCATGTTGTAATTTCAATGCCCCATGACTGACCCCAAGTACTCTTTGGTTTTTTCGGTAAAGTCACGTAGGTAAAATAAAATTTAAAATAAAAGAAAACAACTAAATTAAATCACGACGTTTCGGAGGCAACACAAGCTTCCGTCTTCAGGTGGAACAGTCGTGATTGAATTTAGTTGTTTTCTTTTATTTTAAATTTTATTTGACCTTACGTGACTTTGCCGAAAAAAACAAAGAGTATGAATCCTTGCAGTCACGAAAGCTTCAAATCTAGAATTAATGACCCTAAGTACTTTCCACTGTCACTGAACAGCCAAGCAACGTGTTGTATTTCACCGCAGCAGCAGCATCCCGATGTGGACAAAGTTGACTTCCAACTTTTCTCTACGGATCGAGAGGGCTCTCTCGGTGCCACTACACTGTCGATCAGTCTACAGAACGATGCACGTCATCATCAACCTGAATTATGAATCATCATCATCATCAGAGGGTCAGACGCCCAGCAAGTGCAAGGGTACGTCCATCGGTTACGCACGGAGTCCGCGTGCCTTGATAAGTGTGCGCTTATCCCTTCCGCGATGAAGAGGAATTGGCAGAGTTCGCGGCGGAATGTGGAGAAGGATTGTCTGCTTTCGATGGCCGTTAGAGCCTATTCATTCTTACCTTGGAAAGGCCAGAAGCCTTATATTTTACCTTAATGTGTTATTTCGTGCGGGCCTTGCTTTAAAAAAAAAACAGCCGTAGCATTTACTACAAGGCACCCTTCGACACAGTCCTGCTCTCTGAGCGAACGCTGAACGCCTTCTTGAAGGCTGGCACAGACGCATTTCCGCAGTGGCATTGCACACCGCGCAACACTGGCGATGCGCCTCACGTGTTGATGGATTAGCACGGGTTGGCTACGCGCGGTGTGAAGGAAGTTCACCCGTACATACGTGCGCACGAGAGGCACGGATGGGCTGAAGAGGAGCAAGCTCGCTGTTACGTGACCATACATTTAGAAATCTACATTTGTATCCATAACACGAAGCCTGCCGGTTGTGTTTTTTTAATTGCCTTTTTGTTCTTCTTTGCCTCTTGGCTGGTGATCAGGGCTGTACTTTTTTTTTTACAGTTTCCCAAATGGGCCTGCAAAACAATAACCGTC